ATAGCATCCAGTCTAATGAAGAATAGCATACTAGCCACCACAATCTCTCTTCCCAGCTAATACACGTCTCTTGTGCTTCTGCCCTAAAACCAAATTAGAAGCGATCAAGTAAGCTCAGCAGTGGTAGAAATGTCGATCTAGTCCAACCTACGTAAAACGAAGTCCGCAATCAAAATTGACAAAACATTTAAGGGATGGATTTAGGAAGACAGTACATTACCAAAAGGAAAGTATTAACCCTAATCCAATGGCACCACCACGATCATCGTACTTTTGCCTTCGCGCTAGTAGACCAGAGGTTCTTCAATTTATTCATAAGTGTTAAAGAATGCATCATGTAGGAAACTTAACTAGGTAGTATGGAACATTGTTTTGTAGTCGCTAGGTTTACTGCCCCTTCTAACTGGACTTAAGATATTCAAGTATGAGATGCTAAGGCCGAATTTCATGAGATGCGGTAAAATAGCCTAAAGAATATAAATTTCGCCTTGAGGTGATATTGTGCGCCGTTATTTACGTTATTTTACTATTTTTGGGACTCAGCCTTAGCGAGAGATTTGGCAAGACATTTTGTGCCTCACCAAGCATCGTTGTGTCGGTTCAGGCATGGTCCATACTTTGAACTGTACCGGAGATTGAAGTTATCTATGGTGCAAGATTGTCTTGCACGTAAGTTCTGGAGCTGTCTCAGTCACTCAAATGCTGCACTGGGATCTGGGTAAAAACACACTTTACCATCAGTTCATGTGAAGATGCATGGTGTAGATTGTGATTCTTCTTTCTTCATGCACTTGATATTAAAGAGCATACAAAAATTTGTGATTTATTAGCTGTGAAACAGTGGGAGGTAAGGCGAACGTAGTTTGCAGGTAAAAGGTCTAATTTAATTTCCTCATTATGGCGTAAGGTAATTACTTTACTTACCGTTTCGCTATCATTCTGCACTCTTGCCACACATTTTACTCGTTTTTCTCTCGAAAGAAGGGAAAAAGCGCAGATTTCTCATCATCTGCCTCTAGACTCGGGGAATTGTCTGTGACAGCAGCAAGCGTTTCGCTATATT